TTAGTTATTTACGACGTTTAGACCGTAACGTACGGTCCAACTAGGTTTAGTTATAGGTATCGTACCGTAACGACGGTTACCTAATAGGTTTGTTATAGTAGTGAGCCGAACGCGGTCCAATGGTTTGTTATTGTGAGCCGAACGCGGTCCAATGGTTTGTTATTGTGAGCCGAACGCGGTCCAATGGTTTGTTATTGTGAGCCGAACGCGGTCCAATGGTTTGTTATTGTGAGCCGAACGCGGTCCAATGGTTTGTTATTGTGAGCCGAACGCGGTCCAATGGTTTGTTATTGTGAGCCGAACGCGGTCCAATGGTTTGTTTGTCGGACCGTAAATAGTGTATCAAAGGTTTATGCAGTTCGCGTCCAATTGCTGCCAAAAAAAAAACAACAAAAAACGTGTCCCTTACTTTGATCAGTGGGAGGGAGTAACGATCTAATTCCGATATCAGAACAGACAAGAGTTGATGCTAAGTGATTATTACTGGCTTTTAAAGTTCCTTCCCTTCTACCACTTAGGGACGTAGATAGCTGTCATGTAGTTTTCGGGCTGTTCAACAACCAAACAAATTGTAAACCTACAACACACACAACTCTCACAAATGTACAACTAACTCGTAGCTAAATTAATGGGTTTTCGCATTTTCATGATTTACAAACAATTCAAAAGTCATTTTCATTTAAAGCGGGATACCTTTTTAATAGAGGGTCTGTTCAGTGATAATCATAACACAATAGGCCCGGCATGGCCAAGTGGTTAGGGCGCTCGACTCTCAATCTGAGGGTCGCGGGTTTGAATCCCTGTCATACCAGAAATGCTCGCCCTTTCAGCCGTGGGGGCATTATAATGTGACGGTCAATCCCACTATTTGCCAAGAGTTGGCGGTGGATGGTGATGACTAGCTGCCTTCCCTCTAGTCTTACACTACTAAATTAGAGACGGCTAGCGCAGATAGCCCTAGTGTAGCTTTGCGCGAAATTCAAAAACAAACAAACATAACAAATATATGACAACTATGTACTGGAATAGGAATTAAGCTATATTTCTTTTATTGTTTTTTGATTGTTATAATATATTAATACTTAAAAACGTTTGTGTGGATAACAACATAAATCCGTTTCCTCAAATATTAACAATACGCCAAATATTGAAAGATTTTTTTATCTATTTAATACATAGTTAAGTAAAAGGAATCTTAGTGTGATATGTTTGAATACTCCAAAATTGAAAATTTGTTTTCTTCAGTATCAAATATGTTAGTGATATGTCACGGTTATTTAATATGTTTATCGTGTTTCTGGAACGAAAACTTAATAAAGCATTCTCGGAAAGTAGCCACTGTTAACTTTCAATATGATCGTACTGCACCATATTTTTAAATGTATTACGTTGTTAAATATTTTCAAACAATTCAGACAAAAATGTCCTTCTTCAGTTGATGGTTGGTGTTAAGCGACCTTCACCAGAGCCAGTGGAACCAACTACAACACATACCCCTAACAACAAATCCAACAAGAAACCTAAAGTGCAGAAGAAAAAGAAAAGGGATCCCAATGAGCCACAAAAGTGAGTAATTTTACATATTAAAAAAGTAAATTTAATTATCGCCTTAACATGTAATTATCAAATACGTAATCAGACACTCCATATAGTTAGCACAAGTGTCCTTTCTGCCCATATATTTTTTAGAACAGATAAATATGGCGGGTATTTGAAACTTTTCTTGGTCAACGTCTTTAAATAAAGTTTGAATTACGTACATAAGTGGTCATAAGTAAATAGACACCTAATTTTTCGTCATTTAACTGATTTATGCTAACTAATTTGTGTTCACAGAGCACTATATAAATGAAAATGGTCCCCACACTAATTATATTGTGCTACAACATGCCTAGAACTCAAGGTTCTGTCGAATTGTCAGATTTTGTTAGATGAAGGATAGTTGGTCAAGCAAATGGTGGAATAAGTCAGCGGTAAATTTCGCAGAATTTGGGAATCCCGCTTTCGACAGTCAATAGAATCATCGTACAGTTCAGAAAACACGGCAAGGAAACAGCTGAGCAGCGTCTGGGTCGTCTTGGTCCATCGGAGAGGACAAAAAGGGCTGTCAAGAGGAGCATCGAAATGGGTCTCAGATTAACGACTGCAGAAGTGGCCAAATTTGGTGGGATGAGCCCGAAATCTGTTCAACGGATTCTCCACAGATTTGGTTATCGTTGCAGAGCAGCTAGACGGAAGCCCTTATTAAGACCTGCCAACATAGTCAGACAAAAGAAGTGAGCAAGTGATATGATGACCAAGCCTCTTGACTTTGGAAAGACCGTGTTGTTCTCAGACGAATCAAGATTCGCTCAATTTTCGGAAGTGGAAAGATATGGGTCTGGAGAATGCCTCAACAAGAGTTTCGGCTCAACAGATTGCAGCCAACTGTGAAGCATGGTGGTTTCAGCGTGATGGTTTGGGGAGCTGTTTGAGTTGGTGGGAGATCGAGTTTAGTGGAGTGCGTTGACAACATACATTTTGCGAAATACGTCGAAATATTGGAGGAAGGACTCTTGCCACTTTATTCCTCGAATTTCGTGGACAAGAACACAAAGTTGTTCCAGGAAGATGGAGCACCGTCTCACGCTGCTAGAAACACCCAAAAGTGGCAGGAAGAAAATGGTATCCAGAAATTACCCTGGCCGAGCCAATCTCCTGACATGAACCACATCGAAAACCTCTGGGCCATACTCGACCGGCAAGTCAAGAAACAACCAAAAAAACCAACGAGGTTACAGCTCACTGTTTATCATCACAACTACAGAAGCCTACTGTAGAGAGAGGTTACAGCTCACTGTTTAACATCACAACGACAAAAGCCTACTGTAAGAAGAGATTACGATTGTCTGTCTAACATGAAAACTGGTAAAGTCTACTGTAAGGAGAGATTACGGTTCAATGTTTAACAGTACAACTAGTAAAGTCAATTGCATGGAGATATTACGATTCATTATGTCTTATGTTACAACTGATAATGCTCAATGTAAAGAAACTTTAGGATTTGTTAAATTTTTCCATTACCTCTTATGTGCTGAAACCTTTGGTGGTTATTTTTCACAATTGTACTGGTAGTTTCCATCACATGAAGATCGAATTTTTTTTAACTAATAATCTTTTACAATTAAGCCTAAAACGATGTATGACAGATGCTTAATAGAGTTACAGCGTTACACTTCCCATACATTTAACACTAAAAATGTTTTATAACATACACACAGATTTTACAAGGGCCTTCTTGTGGCTAACTTAATAAACAACATTACACACGTTTCAACTTATAACAGTTACCCTCAATAAAACACACACGTATATATATGCATCTCACCCTCCAAATTGTGCTAACATAAAGTATACTGAAAGGTGTAAAACAGCCTCAGATACTATTAAAAATGAATAATTTTCAATAAAAAGTACTAAATTTTCCAAGGGTGCGTGTCGCCTATCCCCTACTATTACTACACAATATGGCTTTACTACTTATTTCCTTTTCTCTCTAAAAATAGTACCCCTTTATAGATTTCCATTCACGCCTCTGTGCACGTACACAGCGTGGTCACAAGTAAATAGACACCACCATTTCAGAAAAAATGAAATTTTTCAGTCATATTCACATGAATTGATATATTTATAATTTAATTAATATCTAGTAGATCTTCCTTTCGCTTCGTGGAGTTCGTTGATCCTTTGGGGCATCGTTAGAATCATCTCGTCAATTTTAGATTGTGGGATTTTCGCCCACTCTTGCTTCAAAACTTGGAGTAGATCACTCTTCGAATCTACAGTATGCTTCTGTAGTTGTGATGTAAACAGTGAGCTGTAACCTCTCTACAGTATGCTTCTGTAATTGTGATGTTAAACAGTGAGCGGTAACCTCTCTCTACAGTAGGCTTCTGTAGTTGTGATGTTAAACAGTGAGCTGTAACCTCTCTCTACAGTATGCTTCTGTAGTTGTGATGTTAAACAGTGAGCTGTAACCTCTCTACAGTATGCTTCTGTAGTTGTGATGTTAAACAGTGAGCTGTAACCTCTCTACAGTATGCTTCTGTAGCTGTGATGTTAAACAGTGAGCTGTAACCTCTCTACAGTATGCTTCTGTAGTTGTGATGATAAACAATGAGCTGTAACCTCTCTACAGTATGCTTCTGTAGCTGTGATGTTAAACAGTGAGCTGTAACCTTTCTCTACAGTAGGCTTTACCATTTATAATGTTAAGCAATGAACCGCAACCTCTCCTTACGGTAAGCTTTACCAGTTGTAATGCTAGGCAATGAACCGTAACGTTTCCATACAATAGACTTTACCAGTTGTAATGCTAGGCAATGAACCGTAACGTCTCCATAGAGTAGGCTTTAACAGGTGTAATAAAAAAAAGTGACTGGAGAATTTACAGTGAAAATTTTTATGTATGTTTTCTTTTTATCGATTAGTTATCCTAAACTCAAATCATGATGACAATGGTACATGGTTTGTAAAATGTTAGAGTAATATAATAAACCTATTTCAAAGAGATCACTTCCTCATTACCACTCATGAATATATTCTCGTTCGTATTATCTTCAACGTCCAAAAAGACAAGAACACAGTATGTTATAAAGTGAAAATGTGTTGAGTTTTACATCAATCTGAATGAGTTGTAGTTCATGCTAAAATAACCTTTACGGTTGAAAGCAGGAAGATTTGCTGTTGCTTATCATTGGAAAGTGCTGCTCTTCATCACAATATACTATTTGAAAAGATATTTTTCTTCAACTATGGAAGAAGGCAAAGAAAAGTGTCAAAGAAAGCGTACTTGGGAAGATGGATTGAAAAGATGAGAGAGAACATGTTTGTTATGGGTAATCTATGGAGCACTTCCATTCGTCTGGAGGCATCATATTTCATTCTGACAGCTCGATCTTTATTGTCGTGCTTTTCAATTGGAACAAAGCCAGTACTCATCCCGGTGAGAAGAAGAGTTCGCAATGCACTTATCTTACATCCGCTGATAAATCATTTCGGATTCTACCAATTTCAGATTTGAATTCCCTCGGTGTTTGAGAGGTTTATTACTTCTCCTTTTGTTGTTTCGCTGGGAATTTAAGTTGGAGAAAAGTTTGGTTATTCAAACAGACTTAATAGTAATATACTAAGGATTGTTCATTGTTTTTTTTTTTTTCGTTATAAATTTATTGTTAGAAATTCTTTGATTATGCTTTAAAGAATTTGTATGCAATAGTAATTCTCATTCAGTTTTATAAATATATGTATATAATTATTCACAGCTCTCAGTTTTATCTTACAAATGGGTATTTATGAAAGAAACATACGAATAAAACCATTTGGCTGTTTTTATGCACGGATGATAAATTTAACCATTAATCATTCGTGCTGTTTTTAAAATGATATTTATAACCTGACGTATACTTCTAAGCTAAGAACATTAGAATTATTAATAATGCTTTGTTCTGCAGTGACTACGTTTAGATTTAATTATGGTCTTTCTATATCTAGTTCAAAGGTTATGGATTTTATATTTTACCCAATATTTTTATGTTTGTATGAACAACACTATTTTTATTAAAAGTATTGAAGCAACACACCTTGGGAACAAGACTACTGTATTTCTTCACTGAGGCCCCATTCTGACCGGAAGTTAGCCCACCTTTGGTGTTAATCACATCCTGGATATGATTAGCAGTATTCATTGCACAATAGATGGTTCTCAACTGATTTCCATTCCCAACACCCATCCTTATCACCCACTCTCCATTTTGATCCTCATGTATCATGAAAGCTAACGCCTTTCATTCACAGCTGTGATGAGTGGTTTATGGGCTGCAACCTGTCCAAAAGTTCCAGCAGCTTCTTCTGCACAGATGTCCTTGCCAAACTTGCATTAACGGTGAAGCTCATGAATATAATTCTAGATGTCCGGTTTCCTTTTACAGCAAAGTTCAAAGTTCGAAAGAACCATGCATTGTTTAAATTTGGGTGTTAAAGTCTAAATTCCCCATCACCTTGTCCAGTGGGTCTTGCATTTCGTTAACACATTACCTGCTGTGATTTAAGATATTAACAGATACCCATAACCGTCAATTCTACATCCTTTAACCATTCCTCTTTGAAGATCCTTTCACTCATATCTAAAAAGCACATAACATACGTTCAGTTGAGACGGTTCATTACTCATCAGAATGTGTTGTTCTAATTATTCATTTATTTCTTTAGCCTGGCTTGACCTGGTGTTTAGTGCACTAGACTCACAATCTGCGGGTCGCAGATTCGAATCTCTGTCACCAAATATGTTCGCCCTTTCAGCCTTGGGGCGTTATATTGTGACGTTCAATCTTACTATTTATTGGTAAAAGAATAGCCCAAGAGTTGACGGTAGGTGGTGTTGACTAACTGCCTTCCCTCTAGTCTATCACTTCTAAATTAAAGACGGCTAGCGCAGATAGCCCTCAAGTAGCTTTGCGCGAAATGCAAAATAAACCAAATTCAATATTTATAGTAATAAGTGTATCAATTTAACGAATTAATTGTAT